GAGGGTTTAGGGTAAGTAACACCACTGCTCTCTTTTGTCCTGTTTCCCTCCGTGGGGTGAGGCCTCCAGCTTATTTCAAAGACTCATCAACCTAACTGAGCTAGGCACTAACGCACAAGGGTAGACACACACCCTACTTTATTTTATTTTTATTATTATTTTTTTCATCTACGACGAGACCAAAGCTATTTTTACAGTCAGTCCAGTGACAGGCAGGAATAAAAATGGGCCGGCAGGAGAGCCTCCCAAACTACAGTTGGAAGAACTGTGAACTGAACGGCATTATTGGATTAAACATGGCTGTTGTACACCCAGACCAGGGACTTCCCGACTCCTCTCCCTTCTGCTTCCCCGCCTGCTCGCGCGCTGCAGCCGTTGCCCCGCCTGGCTCTGCCACGACACGTGTGCGAGAGAGAGAGAGAGCGTGAACACCCAGAAAGGTCCAGGGCACTTTGCCCTCAAGAAGGTGGATCCTTCTCCTTCCAGAAATCCCCGAAGTGGAGGGGCAGGGATAAAGGAACAGTTTTCCTTCTGCGAACTCACCTGGGTTTCACGGCATTTCCCACGGCCCTGAGCAGTCACCTTTCATTTTAATCACTTTGCAAAAACAACCTTTAGTAAAAAGAGGGAAAATGCAGGCTGGCGAGGCAATTTCGGGGATAACTGCTGATACATCAGTTATTGACTACCCAGCTCCCGTTTATGAGCGCGCTCAAGGCAAAACTGAGAACACAATGACAACATCAACCGCTCACAATCAAGTGTGGCCCTGGAGAGCACTGAAGCCCTAACTGACAGTTGTCAAGATAATGGGGGGCACGGCAGCTGATTCTGGAAGATTCTCTTCCCTGTGTGCCTGTCCAGGGGAATAGCCTTGTCCTCATCCCCTTTGTTTTTCTCCTTCATCTTCCTGATTTTCCTTTTTAAAATCTGCATTGTTCCTCTCATTTCGTAGGAAATGGGGGCGGGGGGGGGTGAGTGGAATTCACAGAATGGTCAAAACCAGTCATTTTGCCTGCTTGCTACAGACTGGCTAGGATACCTGTGCAAAGGAGAAATACGTGGCAGGTCTGAGAGCAAATGAATTCCCAAGGCTGGTGCCGAGATGCCCTTCTGAATGCTCCATGTGCTTTCGAGAGAAGGGAAGGGTTCCTCTCCAGAGCTGCCGGATGCGTGGATCACACTCAGGAAGGTGCTCTCTGGACGCCACCAGGTGGGCCCCCTCTCAGGCACGCCCCGTCTACTGGCAACGGGAAGCCCCCTCTGCCTGTTCCACGGGCATCTGCTGTGTTCTGCGACATCAGCAGATCCCAAGGGGTCCAAGTCACTTTCACAAGAGTCAAGATGCTCGGCGATTCGCCCTCCCCATGCTACCTCCTAAGAACTCCACGGAAGATTATTTTCTTCCAACGAATAAAACTCAAAAGGTCACCGGCAAGTTGTGGTTCATGGAGGATTCTCTTTTTTTTTTTTTTTTTAAGATTAGGCAATGGCCTTTTATGATTTCACATTTTCCTGCAGAAAAATTAATGTGAATGGATAAAATATTATCTGCCAGTAAGTATTACACTAAATTTTTGTTTCCCTTTTGAGAAATTACTTGTTTAAAAACAAACACAACAGATAGGTGAGAGTCGCATTTGAAGCAAGGGATAATAGTCATTCTGCCTGAAGGACACTGTCCTTCCTTAAACCCACGCCTCTGACCTTCTCCAGGCAGCAACATCTGTCCGGCACAAGCACACCGCCCCTGGGCATCCAGGTTTCAAAAAGGGAAACTCCCACCCAGGTTTCTCTTCGGCAGGTGAAGAAACCTCTCTCTCTTTCTGAGAAAAGACACTAAGATATGTGTGATTTCTATTAAAAAAAAAAAAATCCTAAAGTACAGAAATATGTCTTTTCAGGGATTCTTGGAGGCTGTTTCGGCCTTCCGGAGAGCAGTGTTACACTTGGCCTAGATACACAGGCCGTGTGCACCTGTGTGTTCTGTCTGCACACTGTACACCGCTCTTGGCCTTTTGTGGTTGTTATTCTACCCCAGACCATTAAAAGGGCCCTAATTCCTATGACATGATTATCCAGGTACCAAAGCCCATTTGTCACCTGCAGCAGAAAATTGAGTTAATGCACAACTAAAGGCAGCCAGGACTGTGTAATATCAACTTGATTACATCAAACTAGCTGCAAACCTAATTCTGCTGGATGACACTGCGTCGAGCTTGTCATCTCCAATCATTAAAGCTGTCAGGAATCCATCAGGTTTACAGCTAATTAGGTGAACACTAATGAAGCTGGCAAAACAACTTTTCTTTTTTTATGGCTGAGCGGACCTTTCAGTTTGGAGGGGGGAAAAAAAATTCTCGAGTATTCTCAAGGTTGCTGGGGACTGGATTTCCAGTTACCAATCCGCAGACATCTTTCTTTCTCCCACTCTCCCCTACAAAGCAATCAATGTGCCCTAACTCCCAGCATGCCACAAACGCAGCCACGAGCCTTCTCACTGGCAGTTGTGAGAACTAAAGAAAGGAGGAAAAAAATGGGAAGTTTCTTGTCCACCCAAACACACAAGCCAGAAAACCTTACACCACTCACTTACTGGCCTGTGCATACTTATCACCAGCCTAAATGTGCAGTTTTGTTTTTTTTTTCTGCACTCCTCTTAAATAAGTAGCTCTCCACTCATCCACCACCCCCTCCTCCACACGTCCATTAGGCAGACGCATTCTGATAAACTAAATCCAAAACCAGGGTATGGGAAAGAAAGAAAGCACTCACGCTGCCAACTTCTGATTGACCATTAAGCTATTGATGAATGTGCCTGTCAGAAGAGAGACAATTAAATCAAATATGAAACAAAGTCGTTTTGACGGGTCATTTTGATAGAGCAAAACCATTCTTCCATCTCCTATTAGTCGTGCAGTCAAGTTTTCATATAAATGAATTTTTTCTTAACTGACCTGAGATTTCCTGGCTGGCATTTTAAAAGGTGTAAAAAAAAAAAAAAAAAAAAAAGTTAGTGAACAGGTTGCTTTTTAAAAAAATAAATACATAAAACCAACAGTGTATGTTTCCTCCTGCTCTAATATTTTCTGAAGAAAGTTATCGAATAAGAAGAGTCTCTCAGATTGGCAGGGTGCAGCAGAAAAGATGAACTGTAGAGAGAGTACTAAACCAAATGTAAAGATGTAATCACATATGGTTCATTTGATTGAGGCACAGATACCTTAAAATGTGTATCCAAAAAGGAAAGAAAAAAAAAAAATTTCAAAGGCTGGAAGAAGCCCAAGACATTCCTACTACCCAACTTTGTGAAGGATTCCTCCAAAGTTTCAGAGTTTATTTTGGGTAGATAAGCTCATTGCTGGAGCTTGGAATTTAAAGTAGAAGGTGGGATGGGCACATACAGCATCAGCCAGGAGGTGAGCTGGGAGGCGGCACTCTCCCTACAATCACTACTGGGATTTTCAAACTTTCTAAATTTAGGCAAAACCGAGGACACAGCAAAACCTGCATCACAAGCCCTCGACCGAGTCTGTTTTCTTCTAAGATTTTTCTTAACACACTAGCAGGCAGGTACATTGCTGGGAGAAGAGAGAATATCATTCCCTCCCTGTGACCCCGTGCAAGGGGTATAGAGTTCAGAATGTGGCCACTGTGGGAGGTCCACTGGCCGTGGTGCCCGCTGGCATGATGGAGATCAAGGACACTCGGGCACCATGGTGCACCTTTGTCTAAGAAGGGCACCAGCCAATGCCCTGACCCTTCCCTCGGCCCTCCCCTCTAACATCCAAAGAGAAGAAGAGAAGTCAAAGAAAGGAAGAGAAAAGAAAAGAAATGAACTGCCCAATAACCTTCCCCTCCAGGCAGCATCTGAACCTCTGGACATCTGAGCGTTACTTATATCAAAATACACCACGTCCAGATGTGGTCCTCCCGGCAATCTGCCCCAAACCCCCGAAGTTGCACTGACAGGGCCCTCCTGACGTCACAGAGCTGGCCTCACTACTGCAAGTGATTTATTGATGTTTATTGGGAATGAATAGATCAAAGGCAGCAGCATGACGGGCGATCAATCAGTCATCAAATCAAGGGTGGCAACGGGCCAGAAACCCTTCTTCCAGGCCACATGCCCCCAACCGACATTATTGCAAAATGATGTTATGTGTGTGGTTTTTGTTTTGTTTTCAATGATGCTTTTTCCAAAAAAACAAAAAAAACAAAAAACAAAAAACTGGCTCAGTCTTAAAAGGAGTTGACACTCCTGGTTAAAAAGAAAGAGAAAAGAGAAAGAAAAAAAGGGGGAACAAAAAAGTACTCAGACACGTCCCAGAACTAAGTGCTATGAGGAGATGAGGGTGGGAGCAGCGGAAGGAGGGGCGAGGGCAAGCGAGCGCGAACAGGGGTGCAGCCAACGCCAGCATCCAGCACCGACTTGACAGTCATCTGACAATACCCAGACCCCGTGCGCTCTGGCTTCCACCGCTGTGCCCAGTTTGGGCCCAATAAATAAAGACTCAATCGGATTAGCAGTAAGGTGGCCGGAGAGCCCGGCTCGCTCGCTCGCTCGCTCTCGCCTCCCCGGCAGACACCCCGCTGCGCCCCGCCGGCCGTCCGCGGGAGGACGCGGAAGGTGTCCCAGGGAACTCAGGCGACCCCGCCTGCCCCCCACAGAAAGGGGCACACGAGGGCTGCTTCCCAGCCCCTCTGGGGCCAGAGCACTGAGGGCGCAGGGACCCGGCCCGGCTCGGTCCACCCGAGAGCGGCTCCCCGAGTGGGCGCGAGAGGGGAGAGGGCAGAGCGCGGCGGGGCGTCCGGGGGCGCCGGTGCCCGAGCCGGGCGCACGCACCCGAGCAGGGCAGCAGCGCCCGAGCCGGGCGCCGGGAGTTACTCCGCGCGGGCACGGGGAGAGGGGCAGAGAGCGGGGTCGCCGCCCGCCAGAGGCGCAGGGCGAGCAGAGGAAGAGGAGGAGGAGGAGAGGAGGAAGGGGAAGCGGCTCGTACCTGCTGCGCGCCGGGGCGCCTGCTGCTTCCTCCTCGGCATGATGCTTCTCCGGCGACTGCCGCCGCCGCCGCCGCCGCCGGCCGAGCAGAGGGAGGGAGGGAGGGGCGGCGGGCCGCGGGGGGGCGAGGCGGGCCTGCTCTCAGCCTCCCCCCCGGAGAGCGGCCGCCCGCAGGATGCTGCTGCGCCCCGGCTCTCGCGTCCCCCCCTCGCCGCGCTCCGCCGCGAACCCCGAACGTGCGGAGGGAAGAAGGAGGGCGGGCGAGGGAGGCGCGGGGAGGGAGGAGCGCGGGGGGAGGAGGAAGCAGAGGAGGAGGAGGAGGAGGAGGAGGAGGACCGCGCTGCCGGCGGAATGGGAAGTTTGACAAATCGCTCCAGAGGCCGGAGGAGGAGGGGGCGGGGAGGAGCGGCGGCCCTGCCCCCCCCCGCCCCGTCCCCAGACGAGGTGCGCGGGGTTCGGGGCTGGGGGTGGGGAGAGGGGGAGAGGGCGGGCAGAGCCGTGGGCGGAGGAGCGCGGGAGCGGCCCGGGCTGGTCTGGCCCCGGCCCCCGCCCCCCGGCCGGGGGGTCACGGCATCCGGGGGGACGCGCAGCCGCTGCCGCGGCCCGGGGCGCAGCGGTCCAGTCTTCTGCCCGCGGCGCGGCTGGAGCGGCGGCGACGGCAACAGGCAAGCTTAAAGGAAAAGGAGATGATCGTGTCACTCGCCCGCCCGCGGGGGCGCCGCGCCCCCGCCCCCGGCCCCGGCCCGGCCCAGGACCCCCGCCC